TGTGAAACTTTGTAGCCTAGAAAAGAACAATGATAGCGCACAGCTGAGTTGATTGAATCTTGTGAATTGTAGGTAAAATATGGACACGTCCGCAGATTCTCATCGCGCTCCAGGTCCTAGTCCGACCCCGCTCCGCCTCGCCAAAATAACAGCATGAAGACACCGCCCTACAGCTTCTAAATCCCCCAAAAGCGTAACGTGCCCACGGTCGCTAGATACGACACCGCCTCTAACGACACTGTACCCCTTAGGCACCATGGCTGCACGAGCGAGTACAACACCGTCACCACTCGCAAATGCAAGCTCATCATATACATCCGCGCGTTTGATAGCTTCCCGACTTTCTACCTTCGCGCCGTAGACTGTCGGTGTGGACTTGCCGTAGATGAGCGCGATGGGTGGATACGAGTTTGATGATGTGTGTTCGGGTCGGTGGTCAAGTTCCTGTTTAAAAGCCTTGATTTCGGCGAGTGTTCTTGTAAGATACTGTATTGCTTTGTCGTAAGGAATTGTGACGTCGGTTGCGGGGTTCGGTTCTTTGGATGTCTCGATGTTGTGTTCATGGCCCATTTGCGGGCCCATGCCTGCTTGCTCCACGCTTCCTTCTGTAACGTTGTTGGCGGCGTTACGAGCTACGTCGGCGGCATCCCTCGCAGTACTACTTTTGCGAGCGGGAAAGGTGGGCAGTGCTGAGGAAACAGCGTTCATCAGGCCACTAACGCTGAAGTTGCTATCTTTAGGTTGCTCAGGGCGAGGCAAGGGCGCTGCTATGCACGGAGAAAGGCGGTGTTCTTTCCATGTATTAACGTCAAAAAAGTCTACAGGGTACTCTTCCTTGGTACGCTTGTTGATGAAGCACTTTCCGTCTAGAGGCAGAAGAGCGAAAGACGTTCTGATACTGAAGTTTACTTGTGCTGTGAGCACGCGTGAAGAAAAGAGGACGTCGTCCCCATTACGGAATGGGCCAAGGATATTCACGCAGCGTTGAGGCACACCAGCATATACAACACCAGCTACTAGATCCGGACGCTGATTGATAACATGACGCGTGATCAAGCCTCCCAGTGAGTGCGCGACAACGATGGCACCTCGCTTCTCAGGAGGAACACCTGGCTGATTGCAGGGTAGTGACTCTAGAAACTGTATCATCCGCCGGCTCAGGAAGTGCGGGGAGAGCCGCCAGTCATAACCGTAGTTGTGGACCCTAAGCTTACCGTCTCTTACGTTGTCACAGGCATTCAGACGCTTGAAAAGACGCTTGGCGATGTCGACGGGGCCAATATGGGTCAGCATGCCACTTGGTATGATGCTCTCCTCCATGCGCTCGTCCGCATCTGGATCTAAAGGCACCTCCAAGTCTACTTTACGTAGGTTCAGTCCCACTTTTATAGGCACCCAGAGCTGCCGATGGGGTGGTTCTGCCGAGCGAAGGACGGACCCCCGATAACCTCCCAAGATGACCAAGTCACCCTCGAGCTCCTGCAGAGCTTGTGTGAAGTACGGATGCGACTCAGTGTCGGCGTCTCCACCCTTTGATGGTAAACGCTTCCTCCTTATCGAGTCGCGACGCGAGCCCGGCGCAGGCATGCTTGTGCGGGGATTGGCTTTTTGCGAGGCAATATCGTCGGTCTCGCGTAGTTTGGATGTGGTACTGGCGTTGCGGTTCCTGAACATTTCGGTACTAGATGCTAAGTTGAAGTTTGGAAATGAGGGGCTAGGCAGTTTGAAATTGGAGTCTGCCCAGCTGTCTCGAAGGGCCTTCAGCCTACTGTTGACCTGCTCTTGGACACTTTCGAAGCGCGTGTCGTCGCCGAGAGAAGATGCAAAAGATCGTGTGCGGTATACGAGCAAGGAGCCCTCGGAATTGGACCGCCGTAACTTGGGCGTCGGTCGTTCGCTCGGTATCTGGGGTGATGGGGCGATGGTGGAAGTGCTATCATCACTAAACTCGCGCTGAGGGATTGGGGCAGTACTAGGTTGTTGTGGCACCTGAACGAGATTCCTTGATGCGCTCCTGGACTCTCCTGGTGTGGAGTGATTGGTGCCGTCTCGCTGCGGTATGTCCCGAGGTGGTACACCGCTAGCAAAGGTATCCCTCCTCCGTCGATCAAAGGTGCGCGGCTTCTCAGAATCGAGCGACAATGCTGACAAACTCGGGAGGGAAAAGTGGAGGTCCTTGTAGGTCTTGGTGATGGACGTGGGGAGGCTGAAGGGCATGAATTTGCGCATCGTATCCCCCATGGAGCCACTCGACGATGCCCTTCGCCGCCCGCTCTGTAGGTGATCGCGGAGTATGGATCGGTGGTCGCCTGCCTTGTCCTTCTGAAATGTCTTGGGACCTGCTCGCCAGGGCGAGGGCAGTCTCTTTCGAGGGTCGGATTGTCGCTCGCGGTCGTCATTGCTCGATGTTTGCGTCGGTTTCGGCCTCACATCAGCCGTTTGTACATGTCTGGTGAGCTCGGTGGCTGGTATCGCTTTCTCCAGTTCCGGCGTCGAATCGGTGGCTTCTTGCCAGCCGTCGAAAAAGGCGCCATCTTCGGTCTCATCGAGGGCTGCAGCCTTTTCCGCTGCCGGCGTTTTGGGCGAAGTCAGACGCGTCTGCTGCTTTCCTATGCTGACTCCAATTGCTGACTGTGCTGTCTCGAGCTCGAACGCCCTTTCCTCGGGCGATTCGTCTTCGGACGGTGTGAGGTCATCGTCAACAATAGATGCGAATTGGATGTCGGCAAGGGCACTCTGGCGACGTGCATGTGTAGTAGAGGCTGCAGACGTCTCTGCCATGGCAATCTGGCTGTAATAATAGAAGATAGGTGTATGGGCTGCAAAAGTGGCCCCGAGGTTGGCCTGCCATGTCTGCGGTACTTGCTGCTCCGTAGTGTGGCAGTGTCAGCTTTCCGCCCGCTGCCGGAAGCAGCGACAGCCATGCCTATCCATCCCACCTACGCGGCCCAGCTTCATTTCTCCATCATTTCCAACGGACGAGAGACGGTCAAGTGTAGTCGCAACGGTGCAATGACGGCAAGCGTGACGCTCTTAATGACAATGACCAACGTCACGTCAAAGGGCGTCGATCCTGTTTGCCCAGCCACGCGACACGCGCCACGCCGCCACGACGCCACTTCACATGACAACATACCCCTCCTGATCGTGTGCCTTGTCCCGAGGCAGCGGCTCCCACGATACGTTGTCTGCAATCTCAATCTCAGTCGCATGTTATCTCTCGCATGTTGATAACGCACACCCAACGTGCTAGCTAGCATCCCTTTGTCCGGTGCTGGCCGACTCCACGTCGCATCGAGAATTCAGCGCCTGAACCGACGTCCGGGATGCACCTAGCTCTCCTCAACATGTCCCTCTTCATTCAAGGCATCTGAGCAGGGTGGTGTACTTGCACAGCAGTCTTTGAAGAAGTAGACAAGAGTTTGCCATGCGGCTCCGCGTCTTCCCGTTGATGCATATCGCCTAACCTCCCGAGGTCGGATCAGGGTTTGCGAACAGCTCAGGAACAAGTCAGCCGATCCCCATCAGACCACAAATCCGGTCGCACCTTTAGTAACGCATTCGCGAGTTTGCGGGCTTTATCAGCCAATTAAGTAACAAAACCCTTTGTGGAGCGAGCTCCAGGTCTCATAACCCTTTGGTAACCGAGCTATATGCTCGCAACGAGGCCGATCATCACCTCCCGTATGACCGACAGTCTAACAACGAATGACAGTCGTCATATAAACCCAGCATCAAGCAGAGGTACGGTCGGCCAACGCACCAGCATCATCATGCTTGCTATTGCGTAATTGGTAAACGGTGAGCTAAGTCCACAACTTCAAGATATATCTTCGCAGCCGGGCCGACCCAGTCGTCATCCTTGATCATTTTTATTCCCTCACCTTTGTCTTGAGTACCGTTTCCTGAAGTTTTATATCATCGCAAAGACTGCTTCCCATCTAAACACAGATCAACGTCGAACATGTCTCGTCTACTCAGCCTCCCAGCGCCTTTGCCATCAGAGTCCGTCACGCTCGGACAACTCCTCACCAATCCTCTGAATCCTTCTTCCAGCTCTCTGAAGCTCCACACATCCCCTGCTTCACGACAATTATCAACCCAGTCGAAAGATGAAGAAGCTCACGCCACAACCCATGTTACTATCGATGAACCATCTCAGGTTTTCGACAACCTGCGTCGTGAGCCCACAACACAAGCCTTCCTCCGCAAGATGTCACAACAACAGAAGCCAATTTACTTCGTCACCGGACTTCGAACATCCAAATCTCCTTGTCATAAGCGTGGGGCTATACCACACGAACCCATAACCGAGGCAGCTTCAACCCCGCAACCACAACTCCACCTTCCATTTCGACGGGTAGATTCGGCATCTAACATGGCCTCACCTTCTTCGCCTACCAAATCAGAACCGTCGGAGACAATCCTCGCGGTACAGCTGCTGAAAGTTAGGTGCCGTGTAGGTGCTGTCAATGAGCCGCATTGTATTTCGGATGTGGACTACACTTGGAGCTACCATTTAATTGACGATGACGAGGCGGATGATTTACAGCTCTCCATAGGATTAGGTAAAGTTGTGGAAGAACAAGAATGGAGGACTTTGGCGGGGATATCACAGAAGCGGGAGGAGAGAGGCGCGGATCGTGACTGGTCTTATGATTACGAAGACAGCGACGATGGTCTTGGAGGATTCTGATTAAGTCTTTCTCGTCAAAAAAAAACATAAATGCAGATCTTTCAGCTTAGCCCCTGATATTCATACAGGGTGATTTTTCTCACTCCATTGCATCCTACCCATAACCTCAAGCACATAGACCTAGCTTCAACGTCACTGCCTGACAATGCTCGGCGTGCTTGGCCTTGAATGTCTCCAACTCTTTTACCCTCTTCTTGCAATTCATCATATCGTATTTCCTGCCGCCGACAATGAGTTTTCATGTTCATACGTTCTTTGTTGCCGTTATTTAGATCACCTGCGTTCGCCCAGGCCCCTCATATGCATGGTCGTAGTTGACGTCCGCAATGTTGCTTGCGCACATCTCAAAGCTCTGGATGCCAAAGCTGGGCCCACTAGCGAAGTCGAGAAGTTTATCCTAGTGGTAGCCCGGAAGACTGGTGGACATGGGGTAGTGTTGCGAACTTTGCTAGGCAAAATTATTCAGCTCTTGGTATTAAGTCGGAAAGGCCGTTCGACCAGCATCCCAAGATGCACACGCAGAGAGCGAAACGGCGTATCTGTAGCCGACTACTGGAAAGAAGAAGACAACAATGTTTTGTTTGGCGTGGCGATGCCTAAGTTTCCGAATCTCCTGGGTCGCCTCAGGCGAGGAAGTGGTTCCTCATACAACTTCATATCCATGCTTGAGGTCGATGCGAAATTGATTGCGTACGTTATCAAGAAAGCCTATGAGCAAGCAGAACCAGGACAAAAGGTGGTTGTCGAGGCTTCAGAAGAGGGAGCAGAAGAATGGAGCAATGAGGTCGCGAAGAGAGCAGCATTTTTTGGTGCGCTACTGCAGTGCACGCCGGGTTGGTACACTCTCGAGGGCGCTGCTTTACAGACGGAACCGATGGATGACAAGACTTTTGTCGCGAAGAACGCACCATGGGGCTCTAGACCTGTGGACTTCCAAGAGAGGGTAGAAGCTTATGTAGCAGCTGGAAGCCTTAGAGGTTTTACCGTTAAGGTAGTAGGATAAGAACATCTAAGAAAAGGCTTAGTATTAAGATATCACCGTATACAATAGAAAACTCAAACGAGTATGGAACAACATGCCCTAGCTTACCGCCTACATTAGCTTCTAAGAAGAAATTCTAAAAAGATTAATAGTATTGTAGAATTCTAGATCCCTTATCTATATCTAAGAAGGTCTTAGCAGGCTTTATTGTAGTAGGTATAAGTGCTTTGCTCTAAAGAGATGTTCAGTTTCTCTCTTTGAGGTAGTGATATGATACTTCGTCTTTTGCCACACCAAATCTTTTCGTCTTGTCTCACTAAATGCTTTCCACTATCAAGTTACGTACCCTATCCCTTGTTGCACTAGCGACCTATCGCAATTAGACGGAGAAATCCGAAACCATGAGGTTCGCGAGTCATCGGGGTGCCCAAAAACATTGACCCGGTGGCTATCAGCAGTCAGGTGATCGCCCAATGCTGGCATGATTGAGCAACACCGAGCAAACTGTATGACTGCCTAGTGCTCAGTGCTCTTGGCACAAATGAGCAGCACTGGCTAGGAAGATACTCATTAGTATGTAGTGTTAGGCAATGAGCTCCTATAGCTCACTGTACTCAACTTTGTGTTCAATCTAAGGATTAGTACTTGATTTTCAAAACCCCATGCTATTACATCGACATACCAATCGCGTTAGTACAACACTCGTGTCCATCACATTCACTCGTTCTCGAGAAACAATCCCTAGGTCATCTAAGGATAGCCTTCACAACAGGCCTTAGGAGAGTGTTTAACGAAGCTGGGTGTCTAGCGAACCTGCGAGGTACGTTGTAAACTTATTGTTGAACAGCTTAATGCCACAGTGACTGGTCTTGACGATGATCAAGCCAGAAGAGAAAAACGGTACCGGTAATGTGTCGGTACTATTCTTGAGCCTCCAGTGTTCCAGTTCATGTGGCGACGCCGTGCGCGTGCCACTTCAAAACCCTTGCCTCATACGAAGAGTCCACTACCGGTGCTCTCAGGCGGCCCGAGCGGGCAAGTGCCGTAACCTCGCGCAACAAGCTTCTCAAGCTTTCCCACATAACTCCGTCATCTTTACTGTGAAGCGCAGGAGGAATCTAAAAACAAAGTACTCTGGTTAAGAACTGGGTGACTGACGCAACTTCATCCGCGCCTTCCGCTTAGGGTTGGTACCCGACCCCTCATCGCCACATCTCCAGCTCGCCCTAGATCCCAAAATAACCATGCAACGACCGCCACGCAGCCGCAGCACCAACGCTCCGATTTTCAAATTCCCCACTAGTATCGACCGGCGTACGATCCAAGCCCCTGTAGCGCGTGCGATGAGGTAAAGTGCCCGCGTCTGGGCGATGGGCTAGCACCACGCACGTACCATCTCGGAAGCGGCGTCATACCTCTTCGTGTTCGGTGATGTCGGCTTCCAGCTTCAACATGCAAATTTGCTTAGTATGGTGGTACTTGTACATCACCGTGCTTTAGAATTGGCGGCTAAAGTAAGCGTACATGCTAGATGATCGAGGTGAGATGAGGTGCTTAAAGCAAGCCCTTCAGCCTGCTAGCGGTCAGGAGCCACAGCCTCTCGAACTGTGACCAAAGCACCTCTAATCCCCAGATTCCGAACGGCATCATGGTAGCATCTTATATGTTGAAGACTTTGTTGCCAGTGGCTGTTCTCACCAGCTATGCTGCGGCAGAGACTTGTGCTGGTGGTGAATGGGACGTCATTGTCGTCGGTAAGTTCGCATCTGCATCCACGGCCCGACTCCAAGGTTAATATCTCCAGGTTCTGGTCCAGCAGGTATCGTCACAGCAGACCGTATGAGCGAAGCTGGCAAGAAGACTATACTTCTAGAGCAAGGTGGCCCATCGTACTACGTAACCGGCGGTCGTGCTCGCCCGGAATGGTTGAACGGGACTGAACTCAGCCGAGTTGATGTGCCGGGACTGTACAAATCAATCTTCTCGAACTCGGGTGAGGGCAACCTGACCTGCGCATCAGATGTGGTCAACGCTTTCCAAGGATGCACTGTCGGTGGTAACTCCGCAATCAACGCTGGACTGTTCTTCCAGCCGCCTGCGAGTGATTGGAACCGCTATTTCCCAGATGGCTGGAAGGACGCCGACATGCAATCCGCGATTAAAAAGGTCAGGACGAAACAGCCGAGTACAGACAGCCCATCGCAGGACGGCAAGCGGTATCTGCAGAGCGGCTACGAGGCTGCGAAGCGATGGCTTGTTGATGGCGCAGGGTATGCGGATGTTGGCCTGAATGACGGTATCGAGAACCATAACAAGACGAAGGTGTTCGGACATCCCATCTGGTACTATGAGAATGGCCAAAGGAGCGGGCCAGTGAAGACGTATCTTCAATCTGCGCTGAACAGAACGAATTTCTCTTTCCAGACTGGCACCAAGGTGTTGCGTGTCCGTCGAGATGGCGGTGTAGCAACCGGTGTCGACGTTCAGACCAATGGTGCATCCAATTCACACAGTATTTGCATCAAGAAGGGCGGAATGGTCATCTCTTCCGCCGGCGCACTTCTCAGTCCTCAACTGTTGATGTGGTCGGGTATAGGCGAAGCAGAGACTTTGAAGAACCTCTCTAAAAATGGTCACGTCACCGTTCCTTCTCAAGAGTGGATCAACAATACCGCTGTCGGCAATGGCGTCTTCGACAACCCAAACACCTTTATCGAGCTGCATTCCGACGAAATTGCGTCATACAGCTATAGCTACTCAAACCCACCGCCTTCTGACGTTGAGCTGTATCTCAACAACCGCTCAGGACCCTATACATTTGCTTCTCAAACGAGCGCGTTTTGGGATTACATCGAGCAGGGCGATGATGTAGTGGGTTGCCAAGGCACCATTGACTCTGCTGGTGCGATGGACCTTTTGGAAAACGGTACCATTACACTCAACGTCTACGGTACCTCTGGTCTCCGATCTGTCGGTCGAGTGAACTTGGACGCCAGGGGTATCGCCCTTCCGAACTCAAATTTCTACTCCGACCCCCGCGACGCAGCAGCAATCGCCAAATTCGTTCACAACATCTTCCAAGCTCTTCCTCCTACCCTCACACCACTCAACATTGCGAAAAACTCCACGCTTGAGCAGATTTCAACCTGGTTGACCACGCCAAGTGCTTATACTCGTGGCAATGTGCAGCATTGGAGCAGCAGTTGCAGAATGGAATCATGTGTTGATGCGAACACGAAGGTGATTGGTATGCAGAACCTGTTCGTGATCGATGCAAGTATTGTGCCGCCTCTTACTACCAACCCGGTCATGGGTGTTATGATTGCGGCAGAGAGAGCAGTGGAGAGGATATTAGCGTTGGGCAAGTAAGCGCATGTTAGATAAGAGTAATTTCAATTCAGTTCACGACTTTCCACCGATATTGGACCTATGAATCTTACGTTGTGTTGCAAATGCCGAACATATATCTTCGATAGGCCACTTGCATACTGCTGTGATCCTAGTACCTGATGTTTACCATACCGGATGTGGATCCGGGTTACGTCATACCACGGCCCGCCTAACATTACCAACCACGCCTTTGCAAATGCTATCTCTCCATCCTTGAATTAATTACCCAGATATCTGCAAGGGCTTGTACTCTGTCCCTCGAAAACAAAGCATCATCATGTCTAATGACTCTGGCGAAAAGCACGCCTCGAACGGTACTTCAATCCCACCGTACTTCTCTACGAACAAACTTACCAGGAGGCACCAGGCATAAAGTTCACGCCGACTGAGCGTCACGACACATATTCTTACATCAGCCCTACCAAGTCCAACCTTTCGGGAAAACATGTTCTCATCACTGGTGCTTCCAAAGGCGTCGGCCGCGCCACGGCCATCAGCTACGCAAAAGCAGGTGCATCCTGCATAGCCCTGGGCGCACGATCCTCGCTATCCGACGTCGTCTTGGAAGTTCAATCTGCAGCCAAAGACGCAGGTCATTCGCAACCACATGTCTTGGCCTTAAGCCTCGATGTCACTAGTAAAGACAGCGTAGATGCTGCAGTGAAAGAAGTGGCCGAGAAGTTTGATGGAAGACTTGATGTTCTTATCAACAATGCAGGAAGTCTCGCCCCCTTCGCCGGCATCCCAGAATCTGACCCGGAATCCTGGTGGAGCGACTACGAGGTCAGTGTTAAAGGCCCTTATCTCATGACCCGCGCATGTTGGTCTCTACTCCTCGCTGGCACCAAGATCATCATAAACCTTACATCCATCGGCGCTCTCATGATCGTTCCGCAAAGTTCATCCTACGGACCAGCGAAACTAGCTTCTCTGCGCCTCACAGAGTTCATTGCCCAAGATCACGGGGAGGGAAAGGACGACATGGTAGCTATTGCTGTGCATCCTGGCGGCGTGCAAACAGAACTTGCTTCGAAAATGCCGGGGCATATGCATGAGTGGCTTGTTGATACACCAGAATTGGGAGCGGACACATTGGCTTGGTTAGGAAGTGAGAGGAGGGAGTGGTTGAGTGGAAGGTATGTTAGTGCGTGCTGGGACATGGAGGAGTTGGAAAAGAAGAAAGGGGAGATTATTAAGGGGGATTTGTTGAAAATGCGGTTGGCTGTTGATGTATAGCTGCCCCATTAGGCAAGTGTGAGTGAGATGCTGGCTGAATACGTCAGATAACTACGTCAAAGGAGATTTTGTTACAAGCCTAAAAGCGAAAGCGGTTGTAGGGAAAGTGTGGTTCTTGAAAGAAGCAATGAAATTTCCGATAGAGGTTTGTGTCCTCTTATTCGTACGTAGCGAATACTGGTGTTCAGCTTCTTGGAAATCATGAGTAGCTGGCGTCTGATAGATGCAAGCGTGTATTCTTTTTGCAGCGGTTTTGCACGTGCTATGCCCGCTTATTACGTCTTTGCCCTGCCGTGCAAGCTCACCACGTGGTGGATCTGGTTCCCGCCATGATTGGAGATGCGATGCGCGCCGATCCGGCGATCTCCCCGTCTCTTTTACTGCGACGCTCGATGGAAAGGTACCCGGTAACCACAGCGCATCCCACCAATTAGTGCAAGAGATGGTTACATCGCTGCTATCTCCGACGTGATGTAGGCTCAAAGAGATGCTAGAAGTCGCGTCGTCAGCTATAAGATATTACCCACGCCTTTCTTGTCGTACTACCCTTCACTCCAACTCATGACATGGCTGTCGCGTCAGATTCCCTCTGGCCCCTTGTGTCTGCTACAGGCCTCCTAGCGCCGTTTTGCTTGCTGGCCTACATCTGTTTTTGGGTTTACTGTCTTGCTTACACGCAAGTAGTTGGGAAATACCAGCTAGGTTCAGCCTGGTTCTTCATTGTCGTTGAGTTGTTCCAATACCTTCCTACCATTCTACTTTATTTCAACTGTGTTTTTGTCTTGCGGCGACCCAGAAGACAAAAGCTTCATCTCGAAGGCGATGATGTTCCAGCGGTAGCTGTACTCATTACCGCATGTGGGGAGGATAACGACACCATCCTCAATGTTGTCAGGGCTGCATGAGAGACGAATTGGCCATTGAATCGCCTCAATGTGATCTTGTGTGATGATGGTCGGTCGAGGGATCTAGAATAAAGGATGTTACATGTATCGCGGCAGTACCCACACGCGCACCATACGAGTTGTGAGAAGCCAGAGGTGCCGGATTATGTACGTTGACTACCTCTTCTAACATACACTTTTGCTTACTTGGGAACCAGAAAGCGGGTAATCTCAATAACGGGCTGAAGTTTAGCGCAAAGCTCACAGACTTCCCCTCACCATTCGTCGCAGGCTTGGACGTCGACATGATAGTTCAACCAAATTGGCTACGCGCCATGATGCCACATCTTCTCAACGATCCTAAGATGGGAATGACATGCCCGCCACAGTACTTTTGGAACATTCCGCTCGACGATCCAGTGCGACAAGATCTCGATTACTTCTATGCCATGACGGAGCTTATTCATGATGGGCTCGGCGCAGGCGATTGTGTTGGGTCCGGGTATCTGGCGCGCAGGGAAGCAATAGAGGACATTGGTGGCTTCCCCACATACTCGATCGGTGAGGACACTGCTTGTAGCTCTATGCTGCTCGGGAAAAGCTGGTCAGTAGCTTATATCGATGAGTGTTTGCAATGCGGTGAGATGCCGGATACTCTGTCTGGTCATATCAGACAGCTGACGAGATGGACCATTGGGAATGTTCAAACAGCGTTCAAGGTAATACTCTTTCTCGATACCTTACAATAAAGTCTGACCGTTTTGAGATCAACTTTCGCCTTTGGGGCCCGACTGTCCCCTTCTGTAACGCCCGCCAACGCCTCGCCGGCTACGTTTTTGGTGCAGGATCTGTGGTGAACAGCGCGCTTAACTGGCTGGGTTACATCGGTCTTCCACTTGCACTACTAGCTGGCTATCCTTTCGTAGTCTATTACGAGCGCTGGCAACTCGCTTGGCTTCTGCGACTCGTCTGCATTTGGATTTTTGCTGATACGGCGCACAAGATGAGTCTGGCATTGTTTGTTGGGTATCGGGACGCGATGCGCTGGGATCAAGCCAACGTTTGGCTGATTCCGTACTATACGCTTTCTCTTGTTCGCGGTATGGTACTTCCGACATGCTTCGGTGGGACAAAGCCTGGATTCACGCCGAGTGGAAGCCTCTCTCTGGAGATCAAAGAACGTGGGCCGAGGCCTTCGGGCTTTTTCAGCCGCTTACGTGCGATACTCTTGCAACAGATGGTCTGGATACACGTCTGCTTCATTCTGGCTTGCATCCTCGGTGTGGTACTTAACATTGTACGTTGCTTCGACCCAGCAGCTCAAATTAGCACTGCGCACTCGGCGGCTGAGGTCGTCCTCTCAGGCCATGATCGATGGGTATTTCTGCTTACCAGGATCGGATGGCCGCCGGTGTGGTGGCTCGGACAGCTGGCCAGCTGTTGGATTCCGGTACATTACCTGACCTGGCCACCGAACGAAGTCACCGCCGACGAGGCATTGCAACTGGATGAGAAGCGTGGCGTACGATACCCGAAGGAGGAATACTCTCGCCCACAGAGGACAAAGATGGGAAGACCTACCGAACATGTGACTGCGATAGTGTTTGTGTATTCGGTTGTGTGTTTCGCCGGGTCATTTTATGTCTAGATCATAGGATGCAAGTCGTATCGTCGCCCTGCTACCCTTTGTACAGCGTGCGTAATTACAATCGCAAGCATTGATAGAGTGTGAGGATGTTCCAAGTTCACTCGAAAACAGCACTCAAAAACTAAAGCGTTGTGGCGTTCCGTATGGCGTCTAAAATCTGAAATGATTCCTAACATTATCAAGACGCGCTGCTCTGCGACTTTGTTAGAGGTGTCCCTTGAGTTTTCGATGTTCCATGCACGGTCCCGCAGACCCTTGCTGGAGGAACACTAGTACGCAACGGGTGATCACCTCATCACTCTGGCCAATGAGACTGCGGCTGTGACATGTGAATCGGAGCGTCCACTGTCGAAGTCAAAAAAATCTGCACCACAGAACAATGATGGAAACAGACAAAAAGATCAGCAAAAGGAAACTCTCCAGCGGGGAATTGAACCCCGGTCTCCCGCGAGTTGCCAGTGATGGTGACAAGCGGAAATACTGACCACTATACTACTGAAGATTGACCAACCTTGAAGGCTGAGTAGCTGATCGATGGGAAATTGAAAAGTAAACCTCTCAATATCCATAGTCACGTCGTTACAGACAGTGCCAGTGCTCTCCATACAAAGGCTCATCAAGGTTGTAAGCGAATCTCGGGCTCGGTTGTTGGTGGGGCATAGATCGAACCGGTGGCGCCGGCATCTTTAGCCATCCAATCTCGGCGTCTGCGAACACTTGGACAATCAGCGAAGTAAACGAGATCAGCACTCGAAGCAATGGCCACAAGTTCGGCGACCGCTTCGTTCGGTGTTTGATTCTCGTACTGGGAAAGTCTCGGTATATCCGACAAAGTATCTGTGTTGTACCCTGGATAGATCGCGCCAGCAAACTTCATCAAAGACACTCCGGAGAAGGCGACACCGAATTCCCAAGGAGCAAGGTCGCAGGGTGAAAGATGATGGCGGCGGGTGTGTAAAGTAAGATGCGGTGTGGTTGTGCGGATGACACACATGTGCGAGGCACTGGAAGCATTCCCTGCAACGTGAACCAGGCGCGCGGATCGCATTGTTGAAAGACACCGCTATGTCGTCTATACATATTATTGTATGGCGAGAGAGGTCGCTGATCAGAAAATGCGCGGTCGATGTGTCTGAAAAAGACAGAGTTGGAAACGCAGACCTCCTGTCGTAACATGGCATCGATGGACGAGCGCAAACCTCGACAGTCGTGAGCGCGCACAAGGTGTTTGCTGAGAAAAGTAGTGTTTACGCCCAGTTGCATCATTTGGTCGCGATGATTTAGAATTCGGATGAGGCTGAACGGCTGGTTCATACCATACCCTATCGGCGTAGAATAACGTTTTCGTGGCTTGTGATGCTGTGCCATGCCACGATGTAGCGCTAGGTCCTATGTACGCCAGGCAGTGCATTCAAGAGGTCAATAGTGGCTACGACGTCATGTCTGACCGGCAACTGCGTCTACCGAGAACACGAAGTCGATAGCGCTACGACGGGAGAGTGAATGATAGACATTGGCAGAAAGGATGGGAGCGGTGGCTCTCAGAGTAAGCTGCACCACCCAAGGTGCGGCGCGGTCAGCGAGATTGAGCAGACATGGGCAAAAGGCTTGGCCTGGAATTGGTGGTGACGCGTTCTGGAATCTGGGGTCGCCCTGGGCAGACCAGAGAGACAAAGGGAGGCGGGACAGCATCGTGGATACGGTGCTTCATGGTGATGGCAGCAGGCGTGGGATGATTCACGATGTTGGTCATGGAAGCCCGAAGTCGCTGATCAATATGTGACTGCAATCGCGATGCTCGACAAGACGCGTTGGAGATGCTCACGGCCATGTTGATCAACAGGGAGCATGTCGCAGGGGTGGCAGCAATGCTCAGCAGGACGTCGAGTGGCTGAGCGAGTATGCAGGCGTCCTCCGCCTCAGCGAAGTACGAGCACGTTGGCGCCCTCTTCTTCCACCGCCCGTTCAGCCCGTGTCTCTCGACTCTCTACTGTTCACCTCGTCTGCTTCATATTCGACCCAAACTGCATCTTATTCTCGTCGCTCGTTGTTGTTGCTATTCCCCTCTCTGGAAACCATTGCGCCGTGCACCAGCCGCCTCGCCTCGGCTCCACTGCACTCGACGGACCGAAGCGATCTGCACCCCGTCAGGCTGAATACCAGACAGCCAGCCAGCTGCAAGTGAGGCTCATATCCCGATCTGAATCTCGACGGCAGAGACGCTTGCCACAGTCACTCGTTTAATCACGCTCCTCTGTTCTGCATGCCGACGTCTCTTGAATCGCTCGCTGGCACTGCGCGAGAATCGACGGCTTCTCGGCCAGGCACCACCACCTGAATCGCGAACAAGGCACCACCCCGCTGCGGAAGGCGCGAACCACCGACTCAATGCGCTCTAGCAACAAGAGCTATGTCAACATCAACGACGCGGGCAGCGAGAGGAAAGAGGGCACGCCGTGGTACTGGCG